GGTCCTCGCCTGCTTTCACAGGAAAAGGTTCATGTGTGGTAAAACCTAAAGCAAGGAGACTTGTAATAATCAGGAGCTGGACAGGACAAATGTAGATCTGAACCAATGTGGTTAATCATACGTTCTCCCTTTATTGTTTATAAGATGGCAGTTTATATACACTTCAAAATAGTTTACAATTGTGAGCACACTGTCATTGGCAAGCAAACATTGTCTTTGTCTTAAGGTGGCTAAACTTTCACACTGCAGACCTATACTAATTCACACCCAAAAAGCCCATTGCTCTGTGCTTACACCTTAACATAATTTCTAACTGCACCACAGACTAATTTCTAACTGTGCCATAGGCTTCAAAGGCCTCACTGAGGCCATATCTGAGGTATAGGCTGGGGTAGCTCAACCTTCACTCCAAATATAAATCGTGTCCTCTCTCTCTCAGAAATTCTGCTACAAAAACCCATTCCCCATCGTAGATCTGATCTGCTGACATTCCACACCAGCTTTACTACACTGGCCCGAGAGAAAAGGGGCAGTGAAGCCACCCCCAAGGTCAGCTTGCTCTTATTTCTGGTTCAGCTTTCTCACTGATCAGTGCTAACAGGATATCAGCAAAGCTGAGCACCTAGACAGAGGGTGCAAGTGTTTCTCTTCCTCAAACCACTGTTCAAACAGGAATAAATTAGTTCTCCTGACTTCCTACAACGTGAGGTTTGGAAGGGTTTAAGGATACAAGGAAATCAATGAAAACAACCAGGCTGAAGACCCCAGAATTTGTGGTCTCCAGTCCTAGGCTCACATCACACCAGGTATGACCATGTGTTCTGCAGAGCTTCAGCCCCTCCTAACCATTGATACACTTCACAGGCCTCTGTCACAGCACTGTAACACAGCCAGACCTTTAACTTCAGCTACTGGGGTTAATGCTGTAAAGTGCAAAAGCACAAAGTTCAGTCTTCCTTGTTCATCATCCATTTTTGGGTCTTCTATTGCACTTGTCTCTTTCTTATTACTCTCTGTATTGCAAATGGTTATAAAAAACCAACTCCCCCTCCTTGGGAATAGCCTCTGAGTTGATTTAATCATCATTTATTTACTGTAGGATCACAAGATGTAGGCTGTGGTCTCCTCAGGTGAAGCAGATGGGAGGGCTGGAGCAGAAGTTCCTCTGCTTGGCCAGTTTTGGGCTGGCAGCACTGACTGAAGCTGGGCACGGGGCAGCCCAGCACCACCCCCAGCTCTCCTGGGCAGCTCTCAGGGTTTGCCTGCATCAGCTCTTTCTCTGTTCTCCATATATAATCATTTCTGCAAGTAAGTGTGCTCTTAAATGGACTCCTGCTGGTACTGAGACAACATTATGGGAGACTGAGGGAATTCAGCTGTATTTATTGCAGCCAACAGTTCAATAAAGCATAGGCACAGCTCCCTCTCTGTGGCACTTTTCAAGTTATGACTTTCTCTCTTTTCAGTGTCTTCATGTTGCTGCTTTTTGAACACCTTTCCCTCAAGACCCCAAACTTATGCATAGTTTCCTGGCTGACTTAGCTAAATCTAAATTTCAGGGAGCAATCGAGGCATATGCAGCCTAAGGAATGAGCATGATCTCATGGATAGCACCCTCTGCACAACCCTTCTGAGCTGCTTTTTGTTTTCTGCAGGGAAGCCACATTTTATGTGAATTTCTTCTGATTGCTTCCACTAGTATCACCCCTCAGCTGGCTCCTGTGTGAGAAGCCTAAGGTTCAGACTGCTGTAACTCACTTTTTTTTTTCCCCTGCCTGACTGAATTGCAGACTGCATGGAGGACAAAAAGCTGTCTGACCTGTATTTTCCCTGGAGATTTCTGCCCAGGGACTCAGTACACTCTCACCCTTGCTGTACCTCACAGGCTGGTGTTTTCTCTGAGAAACAAAGGACCCTCTGCTTGCCCTAAGGCCCCAGGATCTGTGCTGCAGGATGTGGCATGCAGGCACACATTCCTTCTGCTCCACAGGCAGCATCCTCAGGAGGAGCAGCAGAGAGCTTGGGCCACTTATATCTTAAATAATGTAGCTAAATTCACCAGAGGATGTGTCCAAACCCCAGGACAGCTGAGGTAATCTGAGGATAAAATAATTCCTAAGAACATGGCCTGGTGACTCTCCAGCTCTCCAGCATCTCAGTGACTCTCCAATTTCTTTGATGTCCTGGCTGTCTCAATATATTTGTTCATCTGTTAATCTTTTAGCTCTTCTATCCACTGAGAAATAAATCTCCTAGGTAGAAAGCAGTGTTCAAACACCCCAGTGCAAACACATCCTTTGCAGCAGCCCTCAACTCCTGCCCTGTGCAGGAGCAGCCTCCCAGTCCCAGACCTCTACTGCAGAGTGAGGAGAGCTGGGAAATCTGTGGAAGTCCTGGGGAAGGGTCAATAGAGGAGTTTCTTGAACATCTTATCCTATGCACACTGGTGCCCTGAACAGCAAACTGAGCTGAAATTCAAGGCTTGAATAAGCTACCAATGATGCGGAGTATCCTAGACAACACTGCCCCAAAGTTTTATTCTTTCATGTGTAACAAAGGGACAGAGTTATTCTCCCTCCTCCACCCAAAGAAGTGGAATAACAGCATCTTGTAAACACTGTTGAAAACCATGTGATTTTTGGATGCATTCTAATCCATGCAGGGCTTCTTTCCTCATGGAGGCATGAAGGACCCTCCCAACAGCCCATGGTGTGATGTGGGACCAGGACACAACAGCAGCCAGGGCTTTGCTGCTGCTCCATCACCCTCCTCACCGAGCTGACCCCCATCACACCACCCCAAATCACAGCCTCAGACAGCTGCAATCCCGCTGACACGCTGATTCAACCCAAACCCAGTCCTTTAATGCTGATAATACAACTTTAAAGCCCAGGGATCTTTTTAGAAGCTTAAAACTACAGAAATATTTGAAAATACAACAACAGCAAAGTGCAGCTCTTTCAGTAATGAAAACCTTGGTCTGCAGTCCACATGACTTTGCACTGGTGCTGTGGTTTGGAGCCTGACTCTTCTCTCTTCTCTATGTTCCATATTACTGTAAATCCATCTTTTTGGGATTCTTGTCCCAATTTATGCTACTGTAAAGGAGGACAGGAAGGTCTTAAAAATTGTTTCCTTGGTATTTAAGGGGCATATGTTTGTAAGGGATTTCATTTGATTATTTTCTGATATCCTGAATGAATCCCTGAGCCACCTGACCATAAACCAGGAGCTGCAAAATCTATGCAAAGCTGGAGAAAGCAGTTGAGGAGTTTATGCTCTGGGGGTTTGAGCAATGTTTACTGAACACTTTCATTTGGAGCAGGCATTTAAGAGACGCTCTGCTTTTAAACCTAATTCTGCCTTCCAGAGCAGAACCAATTTGGAGACTAATAATGAAAGAAAATGATTTAGAGATGAACAGATAATTTGTTCAAAATCAACATTTGTTTTCCAGTGTGATACTCCAAAGCTTTTAGTGGGATTCCCATCTCCTGGTGAGGTGTAAGCCTGTACTTAGAGCAGTAGGCTGGAAAGGTGGCTGCATGAATATAGATTGTTTCATTATTTGCTCCTGCTCTTGAATTTTCCATCCCAGCAATTGGCACATAAGCCCTTTTTATTGACCATGGGTGCTGCTTATTTTTGCTCCAGTATTTGCAGGACTGGATTTTGACCTCTCACAGAGCTGGGCAAGAAGGGTAAATGCAATGCTGTGCACAGTTACAGCCTGCTGAATTCAGCACTGAGATAAGCTACTGCCATGAAATTGCTCCTGTCCCACCTGCAGTCTCCTGGGAGGTGGATGAAGAGACATTCTCCTGTCTGGGTGACTCCCCACAACTTGGG